CCCCCCCCCCAGGGATGGGGACTCCCCCCTGGGCAGCCTGGGCAGGGTCTGACAGCCCTTTCCAGGAAGGAATTGTTCCCAGGATCCAACCTCAACCTCCCCTGGTACAACTTGAGGCTATTTCCTCTTGTCCCATCACTTGTTCCTGGGGAGCAGAGACCAACCCCCCTGGCTCCAACCTCCTCTCAGGCAGCTGCAGAGCCAGCAGGTCTCCCCTCACCTCCTTGTCTCCAGGCTGGACACCCCCAGCTCCCTCAGCTGCTCCTTGGAAGTTCTCCAGCCTCTTCCCTAGCTCTACACCCCTTCCCTGGACACTCTCCAGCCCCTCAATGTTCTTCTTGTCGTGAGGGACCCAGAACTGACCCCAGGGTTCAAGTTGTGGCCTCATCAGTGCCAGCACAGGGGAACAATCCCTGCCCTGCTCCTGCTGGCCACACGTGTGCTGCTACAAGCCAAGATGCTGGTGGCCTTCTTGGCCATGGTAGCAAGCTGAATGGGGCTGGTGGTCTGCAGATGGAGAGGATGTTTGGAGGAAACAGTAACATCCCACAGGCTGGGCTGAGGAGGACTCTGCTCCCTGTGTGTCTGTAGCCACGAGATCCTCCTGGTTTACAAACCCCCTGCTTGCCTGGGGTGCACCTGGGGGTTTGCTTTGAGTTTGCTTGAGGGTTTCTTGTGTCCTTCACCAGGTCTGGCTCCCTGCCATGAAAGCCAAGGGGCTGGAGATCTCTGGCACCTTCAGCAGGCAGGTGGGTTCCATCTCCATGGACCTTGTCCTGACCAACAAGGCCCTGCAGGTCATGTCTGACTTTGCCATCCAGTTCAACCGCAACAGGTGAGGTCCCTCCTGGGCTTGGGTGCAGGTGCTGCCTGACACCTCTGAGCTCAGCCCTGTGGTGGTCGTGTGTGGAAAAGGGGGGTTAGAGGGCTGGGAACAGTCTCACATGATGACCCTTCTCTCTCTGATGGGCTGTGGTGGTGATGATCATCCAAGCCTCTAAGAAGTTGGCTGAAGAGACTGCTCTGGGGTCTGATCACTATAAGGGTGTTGGTCCTCCTGGTGAACTGATGCTTCCTGTTCCCTCAAGGACATGAGGGATGGTGCTGAGGGAATGATGTAGGAATGTTATAAACGGGTGGGAGTGTGTGGAGGAGGAAAGGATGAGATTTTTGGGGCTACCAGGGTGGGCAGGGCAGGGTCCAGCCTGGTCCTGGGGTGTGCAGGGGCAGGCGGATGAGATGGGATGTTCCTGGGGTGATGGTGGAGGAAGGTCCTAGGATTGACCTGGGCAGTTTCTTCTGCCATCAGCTTCTCCCTGCAGCCCTGACCCCCCTGCTCTCCCTGGATGTGTCCCCCCAGCTTTGGCCTGGCCCCAGCAGCTCCTCTCCAGGTCCATGCTCCCCTGGCCCCCAACCAGTCGGTGGAGATCTCCCTCCCGCTGAACACCGTGGGCTCCGTCATGAAGATGGACCCTCTGAACAACCTCCAGGTGGGGAACACCCGGGGTCTCCCCTCTTGAGGAGCTCAGGGTGGGGCAGGGATCCACCCAGGGTGGGTTTGTTCCCTTGTAGGGAGGTGGGAGAGCAGGAAGCAGGTGAGGAGAAAGACTCAACTCAGTGTCTTCTCGGCTGGCAGAGCTCAGTGTGACTTTGGTTGGACATCCAGCTCTGTCCTCGAGGGAGGACAGTCCTGGGTGACAGTGGCAGAGCTGAGCCTGGGCTGAGCAGTGTCCCACCATGGGGGGAGATGGAGACAGGGCTGTAGCTCCCAGGAGGGAGCTGGGAGGGAAGGTTGAGGGGCAGCTCCCCCATGGCCCCTGTCCCCTGGGGACAGTGACATGCCTGAGGGCACTCTGGTGTGTGGGGGGTGGATGCTGGAGCTCCAGCTCCCATCTCCTGCCTCTGGTGGTGGGGTGACACCTGGCTAAAGAGGGATCAGAGGTGTGTGGTGGGATGGGCTGCTGCCTTTGGGCACTGCTGAGGGTCAGAGGAGCTGGTGTCACCCCCTGACTTTCTGTCCCAGGTCGCGGTGAAAAACAACATCGACGTCTTCTACTTCAGCACCCTGTACCCCCTGCACATCCTCTTCGTGGAGGATGGCAAGATGGGTGAGTTGTGGCTCCTGTCCTGGCTCCTGAAACCCTCCCAGCCACATTCCTAGCCCTGGGGATGGAGCAGGAAGCCCTGAGGAGCCACACACCCCTGGCAGCTGCAGGCAGGGACACTGCTGTGCCAGCCTGGCCAAGCTGTGGCTTCTGGACGTGGCCTGAGCCACCTTCTAACTCCTCCCAGCCAGAGAGAGCTGCTCTCACTGCTTGGTTTGCCTTCCCTGGCTCTTGGCTCTTCTCCAAGCCAGCCCAGAGTGGATGACCCCCTCCCAGAGTGGGTGGCTTTCCTGTGTCTGGTCCTAGGAAGCCCCTGGAGGGGGTGGCACGTGGCAGGGTGATCCCTTCAGCCCCTTGGTGACATGGCAGCCTGGCCTTGTGGTCCCATCTTGTGCCCCCTTTGGGAGGTGGGGGTGGGCAACTGGTGCTGTGGCCTGACTGGTGCTGGTTTCACTCCTGGCTGCAGAGAGGCAGATGTTCCTGGCCACTTGGAAGGACATTCCCAATGAGAACGAGGCCCAGTTCCAGATCAAAGACTGTTCTCTCAGTGCAGGTGGGTCCAAACCCTTCAGAAGGACCCAGCTCAGCTCGTGGCTGCTGACTGGGTCATCCCAGTTATCATAGAAACACAGACTGGTTTGGGTTGGAAGGGACCTTAAAACCCACCCAGTCCCACCCCCCTGCATGGGCAGGGACACCTCCCACCAGCCCAGGTTGCTCCAAGCCCCATCCAACCTGCCCTTCAACACTGCCAGGGATGGGGCAGCCACAGCTTCCCTGGGCAGCCTGGGCCAGGCTCTCACCACCCTCACAATGAAGAATTCCTTCCTGATGTCCAACCTAAATCCTCCAGTTTTTATCCATCACCCCCTGTCCTCTCACTTCAAGCCCTTGTCCAAAGTCCCAGTTATCCCAGCCTGGGCTGGGGGGAGAAGGGAGCCCCTTCCCACTGGACCCACACCATGTCTCCAAGAAGGAGCTGCTGCTTGCCTTGCTGTGGGCTGGTTGCCCAAACCCTGTGGCCTCTGAGATGCTTGGCACAGTGGGGGTGATGTCCCCATGCCCATCCAGTCTCCACAGAGGAGCAGAGCTGGATCACACAGCCCAGCCCAGGTCTCCTGCTGCCTCCTCACTCCCCTGGCTCCATCTCCAGCAGATCTGGTGCCAGGTGGCACGTACCCAGCAAGTCCTTTCATTCCCCCTGGCAGCAGCTGAGCTGGCATTTGTGAGGCCAAGTGGGGCAGCTCTGCTTGGGAATGGAGCTCTGGGCCTCCTGGGAGCCAAGCTGAATAGCTCCCTTCTCCTCTCTGCCTGGGAATGGGGGGTGGTTTTTGGATCTCCTCCTGCAGCAGGAGGAGGAACTGGGGCAGGAGCAGGTCCCAGGGGAGCTGGTGCCCAGCCCCCAACCCAGCAGCATCTCCTCCTGCACAGATGCTGTCAGCAACAAGCTCCAAGGCAGCAACATCTTCACCATTGCCAAGAGGAACGTGGAGGGCCAGGACATGCTCTACCAGTCCCTGAAGCTCACCAATGGCATCTGGGTGCTGGCTGAGCTCAGGATCCAGCCCAGCAATCCCAGTTTCACGGTACATCCCTCCCCCTGCTTGGCCACAAAACAGCCCCGAGGTGGCTCCTGCTCCCTGCTGCCCACCCTGCTGCCCACCCTGCCCTCTCTGCTTGGTGCTTGGGTGGGCCTTGGTGGTCCTGCAGCCCACCTGGGGTGGCAGGGCTCTTCCCCAGTGTCCCTGGGGCAGGGGGAGGGTGACACAGGGCTCTGCAGCCAGGCTGGGTCTCCGTGGGGTCACCTCCCCTCCCCGTGGTGGCAGCAGAGGGGTCCCAGCCCACCTGAGGTCCCAGCCCACCAGAACTTCTCCCATCCCAACCAAACCCCCTTCCCTGGCCCTGCCTGTGCTGCTGAGCAGGGATCTGCTTCCACCTGGGGCTGCAGCCATCCCAGTATTCCCACTTGCCCTGGCCTGCCCCCTTCCCCACTATCCCAGCAACCCTGGGGGTTGGGAGGAGCTGGGTCACCTCACTCACCTCTCTGTGTCTCCCTGCCTGCTGCTGCCTGCCCTGCCTGCCCTGCCTGCTCTTGCAGGACCTGGAGGTTTGTACCCTGGCTCTGGGCGGGCCCTGCCTGCTGGGAACTGGGTACTGGGAGCTGGGAGCTGCCTGCCCTCTGGGTTCCACCTGCCTGCCTCCCAGTGCCCCTCCCCTCCCTCCCAGTGCCTCTTTTCTCCCTCCCAGTGCCTCTTTTCTCCCTCCCAGTGCCTCTTTTCTCCCTCCCAGTGCCTCTTTTCTCCCTCCCAGTGCCTCTTTCCTCCCTCCCAGTGCCTCTCCTAGTTCCTCTCCCTCCCAGCAGGGCCAACACGGGGCCAGGGAGCAGAGGTGAACCTGGGGGGGAGGGTCAGAGTCCTGCCCTCCACCCTTCCCGGGTCCATTCGGGATGTGAGGGCAGCTGTAAATCCTTATCCTGAGGGATTCCCATGTGGCTTGAGGAGTTGATGGGAAGTTCAGAGTCATGGAGTCACCGTGGGCCCTGGGAGGTGCCTTTGGGGGGGCTGCTCACCCTGAGCTACAGGCAGGGAACCTGACCTTGAGAGCTGGAGCCTGTGGGGCCCTGCCTGCCCCCTG